AAAACCTTGACTCAGGGACTCCTTCTGATTGTTTGTCACCACAGAGCCCATGTCGCCAGAGAAGTGAGAACTGCCACACCTCGGGGTTGCCATGTCCTGGATCTCAGGGTTGCAATGTCCTGGATCTCAGGGTTGCAATGTCCCGGATCTCAGGGTTGCAATGTCCCGGATCTCAGGGTTGCAATGTCCCGGATCTCAGGGTTGCAATGTCCCGGATCTCAGGGTTGCCATGTCCCGGATCTCAGAGTTGCCATGTCCCGGATCTCAGAGTTGCAATGTCCCAGATCTCAGAGTTGCAATGTCCCGGATCTCAGGGTTGCAATGTCCCGGATCTCAGAGTTGCAATGTCCCGGATCTCAGAGTTGCAATGTCCCGGATCTCAGGGTTGCAATGTCCCGGATCTCAGGGTTGCAATGTCCCGGATCTCAGGGTTGCAATGTCCCGGATCTCAGGGTTGCAATGTCCCGGATCTCAATGCATCTTTAAAGCAGTTCTTTCTAGCACTGGGTGGTCTCACACAAAGGTTGCCCAGTTGGCTGGAAGTGCTGACTTCCAGACTCATGGGACTGACTGTTTCACTGAGTGAGTGACTAGGGGAGCCTCATGATTGGCTGCTTGACCAGACCGACTGTCTCTCTCTGTCTCTGTCTCTCTGTCTCTGTCTCTGTCTCTCTCACATACACACACACACACACACACACACACACACACACACACTCGGACACTCGGAAAGCTTGGCAAACTTTCAACCATAGAATGTGACGTGGCAACAGTGACCCCACAGCAGCTAAGAAATGGCCATTTAGTCACCGCAGCCTTGCAGTTATGGATCACTCTGTACTGTCTATGAACATCTTCCATTTTCTAGACACGCTTGTATCTATATGCATCTGTTGATGAATCTAACTCATCAGTAAATCCTGTCAAATCTAGCTTCAAAATAAATCCAGAATCAATGACATTGGTATATTTTCTTGTACATCCTCTCTTAAAGCTGTTGCCATCCACACATAGAAACCTTTGACCTGGGAGACTCAGGATATTTATAGCTTATGTTCCCTGGGGGCCTGTAGGCATATTTTAGTACTAGTTTCTAGGCTCTCAGCCATGAATGAGTTAATTCGTAAATCTCAGGCACAGTGGCTATTGAGTAGTGCTGAAATAAATGTAACCAATGGTTATGACTGTATTGTATTACTAAAGCATGGTTTAGAAAATGGATTGAATGACAAGGGACATCAGTGGCTGCACTTGCTCTGTGATGACAGTAATAGCTACACGTCATTGAACACCTGTGTCAGGGTCTCACCTCTGTGCATTTGTATACGTTTCCACACATTATTCATCTTTACAGGAATACTACCAGATAAGTACTTGGAGTATTTTCCTCGTAATATAGCTGGGAAAGTTGAAGCTCAGGAAGGTAAAGCATCTTACCTGAAGTCACACAGCTGGGCCATGGTAGAGCCTGGTTAAAACCAGGACTGTCTGACTCCATGGAGTTCTGCCAAGGGAAGAAAATCGGGTGAAGTGTCTTCAACTTGGAAGGCAAAAGTTTCTACCTTAATATTTTAATTCATTTCTTACTAGATGTAATCAACATCAAGACCTAGGCCTATTCATAATGTCCAGAACTTTAAGGCTGGAAGATGTGCGAATTCAATAGAAAGACAGAACTGTCTCCTTTGTTCCTTTCGATCATCGAGAACAAACACTTTCTGATGCAGAGCCTCACTTACGTTCCTGAAGCAAACGGTGAAACGTGCTGTCAACTGCTTCTTAAGAGTGGCATTATTAGAGAGACACTATAAGATATTTTTCTAATAAAAAACAGAAAAATTGAACACAATAAAAATCACTTATGGGCCGGCCCTGTGGCACACTGCTACAGTGCGCCGCTTGGGAGTGTGGTGGCGCTCCCGCCGAGGGTTCGGATCCCACATACAGACCGGTTCCCGCTCACTGGCTGAGTGAGGGGCGGGTGCAGCACCGAGGGTTGCGATCCCGTTGCCGGTCCCAGTCCGGTACGGGTGCGACACTGAGGGTTGTGGTCCGTTGCCGGACACGAAAAAAGACAAAAAGGAAAAAAAAAAATCACTTATAATCTGGCCATCCAGCAACAACTACTGTCATTTTTCTCTGCTTTACTTTTTTCATAGTTATAACCATGCTACAGACCCAGCTTTGATTCCTGATGTTTTAAAATTTTAGCATTACACAGTAAGCATTTTCCCAGCCATTAAATTTTCATGGAAAAAAATTTTAGTAGTTCTAAATCAGGGGTTGAAAAACTTTGACTGTAGTGAGCTGGACAGTGAATATTTTAGGCTCTGTGGACCACAACTGTTCAACTCCTGCATCACAACCTGAGAGCAGCCATAGACTATGTGAGTGCGCGAGAGCAGCTATGTGCCAATAAAACTTTATTTACAAGAGCAGCTGGCAGAGCAGATCTGGTCTGAGGACCGTAATTTGCTACCTATGGTATTCTATATTGTGTGATATGTAGTCCAAATTATAACCCATGCAGCGGCATTTACACGGTTTGCAGTGATCTAGCAGTGATGGAAGTTCAGACTCTTAAGGTCAGCACCTTTGGGTCTACACCTGGAGACCCACGTCACTGTCACAGTTGCCATTTCCTTTTAGTAGCAGATCATCAAAGGCCAACCATTGAGACATACCTGGGTCTCGGTGGCTCGAACCATTAACAGGAGATGCTCGTCTGAGGACGTTTCCCCACCAGACAGCCGGGACATTCGGCGTCACAGACTGCTGTTTCAGAGTCTAGGATCCCCCTCATGGCCGTAGAAAGTCATCTTCTATAACTCCTTCATATTGCCCCAAATTATTTTTGGAATGAGTTCAGGTATTTATGTAATTTTAAGAAATAATCTTAACCTACCAGGAACATAAGTTTAGTTCATTGGTGAAGATTTTTTCTGTGGTGTGTTTTGTTTGCATCTAAAGGCTGTAAGCAGGGAGAGGACAGAAACAAAGGGAGGTGGGGAACACGGAGGACGTCCCTGGCTGACAGGAGGAGCAGGGAGAGAGGGGACCTCCCACAGCCTGAAATGCACGTGGGCACACCCATCCTCCCATGGGAGGGCGGCGGTCTGGAGGGCAGTTTGCTTTCATGCTGTCGAGTGGCAGGAATTCCCTTCTCATTCACAGCAGGAGAAAGCGGGACCATCCCAGGAGCCGGGGAGATTAGTTCACCCCGTTAGGACTCTCAAGTAACCCCACGCTGAAGAGCTGAATATGGGAAGGAGTTTAACAGCAGCAGGACTGAGGCTCGGGGCAGCGCTTCTCCAGGCTCGGGCCCTAGATGCGAAGTGCAGAAGCGCCACACCTGCAGCGGCAGTGGCCCTGAGGATACTGGGTTATCCCGAAAGACAGCGGGGCTGCAGCCAGAGGCCTCCGGGGTGGGTGCCGCAGCACCGGTGGTCTGAGAGCTGCCATGGGATGGTCGAAACTGTGACACGCTCACGTGTTGGATGGGCCAGGCCTCTTGGCCATCTTTCTTTTCACCAGTGAGCAAAGGCTTCCCAGGAGCCTCACCACGTGCACACCCCTCGAAAGGCCTGTGAGTCACACTGGCCAGCCCTGGGCCACACACCCACCCTGGGGCTGGTGACCAGCCAGGGGATATGGGCTGGGATTTGTCACTCATGGTCATCCCCCAGGCCCAGAAGAGGGTCACCTGTCCCTGAGTGTGTTGCCCTCAGAACAACATGGAGAGTCTGTGAAGGGAAGAGGAGGACGATGGCTGTGGGGCAGGCGACGCTTGGCATCGGGGACGGGGCCTCCTTATTCGTTAACTTGCTGTTACCAGCCACGTGTTTCAGGGCAAGTTACTTCACGTCTCTGAGCCTCAGTTTGATTATCTGTAAAATGGGGTACCTGTTCCTATGGGTCTAGAATTAGAGTTTATACAAAGTGTACGGCCGTGGGCCTGGCACATGGTCAGCGCTTTCTAACCCATGCGGTCCCAGTGCACCGGGCAGGGCTTCAGGGTTTGCCTAGGCTCTCTTGCAGAGATTTTCATGTTGGGTTTGTGTGAAAGCAAAAACAAAGCCCAACAAAAAATGGAGATGCTAAACTTGACAGGTCTTTTTCTTCCCTGCATGGGGGAAGAAGCTGTTGCTTTTTAAAGCAACCTTTCTTGGCTCTGTGTGATGGGGCAGGGGCATGGCTTATTGTCCCTGTGCTGGGCCACGTGAAGCTTCGGCCCTTCTTGCTCCGGGCATCTTAGTTTAGGGCCATCACCACACAGTCGTCCCCAGGAGATCAGAGAAGGCTGCCGACTGTCCACATCACTGACTCGGTCACCCGTCCCGTTCATCGAGGAGCATCTTGGCCAAATCCAAAATTAAGGGTGGATAAAAACAGAATCCAAATCCACTTGAGGAAAAGCTGTTCCTCTGTCTCCCATGCCCCCTGCAGCCCTCTGAAGCACTGGCATAGCCTGGGCACAACTGGCTAGGAGCTCACACCAAGCAGCCCCCAGGGACCCTGGAGAAGTCTGAGAGTCCCCAGGGTGTCCCACCAGTTGGTCAGCCAAACTGCTGCCCCTGAGCCAGCTTTGGAAGGTCCCCGGCAGCCACTCAAGCTGAGGGCTGAATGAGACGACAGTAAAGAGTTGCACAAATCAGCTGTTACACAACGGCAGGAGGGCTTAGTGAGCGCAAGCGAGGACGGTCACCTGGACGCCCTCAGGATGGTGATTGGAGCATCTTCAAGACCCTTAACCCCCTCCCCTGGTAGCCTGGTGCCCTCCCAGACTCCTATCCTCTCTGGAAAGCAGGTGTTCCTTGCCTCCTGCCCACCATGATGGCAGAGTCAGCAGGACCTGACCTCTAGCTGACACTGTAGGGAGGGCTCCCGGGTCCACGGCTGTGACTTCACTGTGTTCTGGAACCATCCCCTGAGGCCTGTGGTGTGGGAGATGACTCCCATCTCTCTTTCACAGACACCCTGTGCTCCCCCCTCTGTTTCAGGGCTCCAAAGTCCTGGCCAAGAAGGAGCTGGCTTACGTCCCCATCATTGGCTGGATGTGGTACTTCACGGAGATGGTCTTCTGCACACGCAAGTGGGAGCAAGATCGCAAGACAGTCGCCACGAGCCTGCTGCACCTCCGAGATTACCCTGAGAAGTACCTTGTACGTAGGCACCAGAGCAGCGTCACTCTAATGACTTCTGCAGGGCTGTGTGAGGCCACGGGAGAGGGTGTGACCACGGGGCTGTGTGTAACCTTGGGACCCCATGTAACTATGACCATAGGACCCTGTGTGACCATGGAGCTGCGTCTAACCTTGGGACCCTGTGTATGTGTGACCACAGGACCGTATGTGACTGGGGGGCTGCATGTAACCTTGGAATGATGTGTGACTGTGTGTGACCGCAGGACCCTGCGTGGACCCAGTACTGCATGTAACCTTGGGACCCTGTGTGACCACAAGTGACCACAGGACCCTGTGTGACCCCATGTGGCCCCAGGGATGCCTGTGACTGCAGCCTTCTGCTTTCCAGTTCCTGATCCACTGTGAGGGCACACGGTTCACGGAGAAGAAGCACCAGATCAGCATGCAGGTGGCCCAAGCCAAGGGGCTGCCCAGCCTCAAGCACCACCTGCTGCCGCGCACCAAGGGCTTCGGTGTCACCGTGAGGAGTTTGAGAAATGTAGGTAAGGAAGATCAGGTGTCCCTGCGGTCCCCCCTCCATGAGGAGCATAAGCCCAGCAGCTCTCTGATAGGCAGTGCTCCCCAGCGGACATGTGGCTAGTAGTTCGGAGCTGCTGCTAGATTAGGTTCTCCAAGGGGATTCAGACCGAGAACAAACGACGCGTGCGCACCTGGCTGGGCCTGGTCCAGGTGTGTCCTGGCCCACACCGCCCTCTGCTGCTCGGCAGCGGTACTGCGGCCGTGCGGAAGGTGCTGGATCCCGCAGGGCGCAGCTGGGTGCACCTGCCCCACGCCGGCAGGCGCCGGGGAGCCCAGTTGGGTCTTTGGGGCATTTCCAGCCCATGCTGGCCTCAGCTGACTGCAGCTGAGGAACTCTGCCCTGTGGTCTGTCACAGCTGCCCTCTGCGTTTGCGGCCCTCGGTTACTGTAGGTCAGAAGAAGAAAACAGCAGCGAGACCTTGCCTCCGGCCGCCGCTCACCCTTCTCTCCTCTCCCCGGCAGCCGCCCAGTCCCCGCTGCCCTGGCCGTCCGGGCGCACGGCCTCCCCGGCCTCCCTTCTCTCCGCCTCCGGAGCCGACGGACGAGGGGCCCCGAGCTCTTCCCTGGGCCTGCCTCGGGGATTTAGCGGGGACAGTGCGGGTGTGGACAGGCTGGTTGTCGGGGAGTTCCGTGACCCCAGCCCCACCCTGCCTCCTGCAGCGACCTCCACAGCCACGGGTGATGAGTCTGTACCTTTAACAAGTCCCCAAGCGACCCATCCATTTCCGGAGCTGCAGCGAGGGTTTAAGACCCCCCGAGTCGGTGCCCCCTGCCCCGCCCCTGCAGACCCAGGCCCTGACACCAGCCCTGCTCCTTTCTGGTGGCAGCGGGAGCCGGATCCAGGATACGGATGTCCCCTTCGTGTCCCGCCCAGACCCTGGTCCTGCCGACTGACTGGTTTCTTCTCACCCAAACGCTTCCCTCGCTGACTTCCTGCCACTTCGCCCAGTCACTCATGTCCCAGTGTCCCCCCTCAGTCCTCCCGGGGCCCTGCAACCAGCTGCCCCCCTTAGGGAGAGGAGAGAGAAGCAGGTTCTGGAGTCTCAGCAGCCTCCTCCTCCACCCCTGCCTCCTGAGGGCCGACTAGTGTCACAGGCGGCGCTAGGTGCCTGCACGTCTGTCTCGCTCTGGATTCAACCCCAGGGCCAGAACCCGCCTGCTCCCTGCCACCCCTGCCTCTATCCCTGATCCCAAGTAAGCAAGGCCCCCTCCCCCCCTCGCACATCCCCCCTCCACCCCGCAGACACACACTGCTCATGTTCCGCACTGCCCAGCAGGGTCAGTAGTGTGGGCTCTCCGATCGGGAGGCCTGGCATTGAATCCTCTTTCCTCTGCTGACCAGCTGTGTGGCCCTGGGCAAGTGACCTTACCTCTCTGATCCTGTCTGCACATCGGTAAAACCTGTTAGGGTGCAAGGAGGATTCAGTGAGAAAACATGTATAAAAGACTCAGCATCATGTCTGGCAAATAATAAACACCTAATGAAAGGCTGGCTATTGTTAAGAGCCACCTGCCGACCCCTGCCCATCTCACCTTCCCCCGTGGTGGGGGCGCCCCTTCCAGTTCCGCTTCTCCCCGTCCTCATCCATCCCCTCTGGCTTTGACCAGTGAGACTTCCTGACTGAATGTGGCCTACAGGCCACAGCGGACAAGGTGGCGGCTCTGTGCTGCGGTCCATGGAGAGGTCAGCGCCGTGCCCAGGAAGAGTGACAGCTGCACACGTACAGGTTGTGTTCCTTATGCCAGCAGTGTAGGCACTTTGCCTGTGAGCATGTCCTCTCCAGGACCCAGTGAAGGCTTCTTTTTCTTTTTACTTTTGGTTCACAGATAAGGAAGTTTGGGCTCAGAGAAGTTAAGGAGCCTGTCCAAAGTGACACAGCCCATACATGGCGAGCTGGGGCAGGCAGGTGCTCCCGGTCATTCTGGTGGGCTTTGCAGTTAGAGTCAGGCCCAGCTCTATCATTCAAGACACTTCTCTTGGGCTTTTCCTCTGGAAAATGAGGGAATTTTGCAAATCACTGGTTTTAGGCTGCTCTTCCTGTCCTTGTTTAGCCAGAGCAACCCTACTTCTGCTGCCTGCAGGGAGTCCCCGTGTGAGAGCGGGTCTCAGGAGAGGAAGTTTGAAAGCCACTGAACTCGGGGCCCTGCCCCCAGGCACGCCTGCAGGCCATCGGGACGGACCCCTGCCCACTGGCAAAGACAAAGGCCCTGCAGACCCCACATGGCGGTCGGGCAGCAAGTAGGAAAAAATGGATGGCAACTTTCATACTGTTTTTTGAATCTTGGTTCTTCATATTCCCAACCAGACCGAATCCCTTTCTGCTCGTCTTAGCATTCTCCACTCCTTTATTAAGTCATTGCGCGTATTTACTGCTCTGTATAGAGCCTGACACCTTACTGAGAGCTCTACACACGTGCAATGACTACATATTGAGCACAATATACTGGGCCCTGCAGTAAGTGCCTGTCATCTGTCATGTGGGCAGCCATGTGACGGAGACCCCAAGAGTCCCTTCTCCAGGAGGCCTAGGCTCGAGGAGTGGGGGGTGGTGAATAGCCTGTCCTGTGCACCTTTGGGAAAAGGTGGTGCTGGGATTCCCACCCAGCCCGACCCCAGAGGCCTGTCCTTTCTACCGTCCAGTCCTGTCTCACACCCAGAGGCTGTTTCCACTAGCAGTTTCTGTATCCATCCCCTCACTCGTGTGTGCACACATTCCTCCACCCTTCGATCCGATCAGCACTTACTGAGTTCAGGCCAGGTCCCATGAACTTTGACATGACTTCCAACACACTGACAGGCAATCTCACCGTTGGGTAGACTCGTTAAAATCACATATAGTTCTTGTTTCCCAGCCATGTTCCAACTAACTATAATTTAATTCCTTAAGGAGTTTCCAGTCAGTATCTTATCCTGCTTTTATAGTGATCTTATTTTTCTAGGGTAAAAACGCTCATAGAATGGTTATGCTGCTGTAGCTTAGACACATCCTTACATAGTATACTTTGCAGCAATTTATCCTACCATCCATATTTATTTAAATATTGGCATTGTTCGGCTGTGCATATGAGAATGTTGCAAATCACTGTCGTGGTATATCTGGATTTGACATGGCACTACTGCTTTAAAATCGATCTGACCTCAGTAATGACTCTGTTTTCTATTACTAAGTCATAGTGGGATTTTCTGATTGTAAAAGATGATACATGTTCGATGTAGAACATCTGGACCATATAGAAAAAGCACAAAAAAGAAACCTGTAATTGCATCATTCCTAGATAACCAGTTAAGATTTGATTATTGTCTTCCAATGTGTGTATCTACGAAACAAAATTGGGTTCACACGCTATATACTGCTTTGTATTTGTTTTATTTTTTATAGTTTCAGCTGTATATGACTGTACACTCAATTTCAGAAATAACGAAAATCCAACACTGCTGGGAGTCCTAAACGGAAAGAAATACCATGCAGACATGTATGTTAGGTAAGTTGGCTGTTTCCTTCCCAGAAAAAGAGTGCCCATTTCAAAGTATATAAATCCCAAATAACCTAGAGACCTTCTTCCAGGGATATCTGGTTAACATCTTCTTATCTGCAGTCTGTTTTGCATTGCACTTGGTTACAGTCTGGATTTACATTATGAACTCAAGAGATGCAGCCTCTATTGTGAATCAGCTAGTGAGGCCTCCTCTCCTCCCAGCTACTTCTTAATCCTCTATTATCAGCTTTCTTATCACAGAACTCAGGCTGGACAAGGGGAAGACCATACTTTACATAATCATTGAGGTTGAGTGTGATGAGATTATTTTACTGACCCCTTTTCTTGGAAACTCGATCTGCTATGTAGAAATACAGATACATGTTTATAAGGAGGTCTAGAAGTGCATGGAGAACATTTTTGCAGTATTTCCCTTCTGTGTTATTATTCCAGGCTATTGATGGTTTTATTGAAAACACTTCCAGAAGATATTAGACTGTTCTCTTCACCTGTTTACTGACTACAGACAGGGTCTAACACCAGTCCTCCAGAATGCCACCAGGATCAGTGGGAAACAGACTTAAAAGATGCTGCAGGTGGTACCACCCGGTGATTGGTGCATTAAAACCCATTGTGACATGGCTCAGGGATGGCATTGGTTTCTTACACTGTAGGTCATCTTCCCTGAAGGCTAACCAGGGAAATCTGAAATGCCCACTCTTAGAGAACTAGTCAAATGAGATAAGGAGACCTCCCAGGAGTAAAGTGAGCTTTTCTCCCCCAAGTAACTTTGACACTTGGCAGGAGCTCCACTTAGTGGCCAGCAGGGCTCAAGTTATTTGGGGAAACTCCAAACAGTGTGTAAGGTTATTTTACCTGCCCAAGGCCATTTATCTGCTAACTGCAACTCTTTGAAACATATGCAGGAATCAGGGCTCACACAGCCAAAACATGAAACTGTCAAGTTCACTCTCCTGGCCTCAGAGGAAGATTATTATTTATGCTACTCAGTACACATCTTTTCTTATTGTAGCTGCCCGCTAAAAATGCTTGAAGCATTTTCCTGTACATACTTATACCACAATAGAAAGTACCAAAGCATCAAAGGCAATGTCAAATATGTCATTGAAAAGAATAAAATTGCCTAAATTCCCACTACCCAAATAAAGAAATAGTATGAAGCCTTTAGAGAGATGGTTTCCAACCACAGCAGATCAGAAAGAGAAAAAAAAAAAATGGGGTATTTGTGGAAGTATATGTAAAGACAGAAAAGGTGAAAGAATTATTTCCAGAGGGGTTTACGGGGTAAGTTTTAATTATGTGAAAAACGTACCTCTGTACAAGGCGGCCTCTGAAAGGAAGCCATTATTCTAATGGTGGTGACTCATTATAATCTGTTATCAGATGAAACCCATGGTTACTCTCTTAACAGGCTATAGTGTGACAGATACATTCTAAAGAGGTATCTTCTTACCAAGATGTTCCTGGGGCTCATTATAATCTGTTATCAGATGAAACCCATGGTTACTCTCTGAACAGGCTATAGTGTGACAGATACATTCTAAAGAGGTATCTTCTTACCAAGATGTTCCTGGGCCACAAAAGGCAGTAAAATAACCCATGAAAAATCATGACAGATGTGGACATGGGCAAAATCAGGTGTAATGAGCATTCCTTGAAACCACAAGAGCCAGCAAGCTGAGAACAAGTGGAAATACAGTACATAAGGAACAGGGAACGTGGCAAAGGGACTTTCCCCCTTGTTCAGGATGGCTGTTTGCAAACGGATGAGGCCTAAGCCCCGGCTAGTACCAGCCCCCAGAGCCACTCTGAGTCCCTGAGCTCTGCTGTAAAGCAACTCAGGGGCCCCTGTCTGAGCCCCAGAACTTGGGGAAGATAACCTGTTCTCTCCCATCCCGGGGAAACTTTAGTTCCCCAACATCTACATCCTTCAATCTGACAAAACCCTGATAGAAGGTTTGCCTCAATGCTGCCCAAGCGGCCGGAGGTATTTGATGGGAGGTACTTTGCCATTACCAGTAAGTAGTTGCCTGGCTGGAGAAATCACTAGCGCCTCAATGCTGCCCAAGCGGCCGGAGGTATCATTTGATGGGAGGTACTTTGCCATTACCAGTAAGTAGTTGCCTGGCTGGAGAAATCACTAGCATGTTATCACCTATACGGAGAGTCTGCCTATTTGCATTGTCTCACGTAGAAACGTAGGCAGTGCTGCCCTCTGTGACAGAGGCGGATATCAGGTTTTAGGCACCTTTCTGTGAAGTGGGAGGGAAGACGGAATGAGGCAGGTGTCCTCTCTCCTGACAGTGTCTCCACATATCATGGAACCCTTGGTTGTTCCTGCACAGGCCATGATTGCATTTTGGCCTATATTTTCCAAATATGGATGTGGAATTTCCCCTTGTTCTATCAGCTGAATTCTCTCCTCATGTCTGTATTAGTCCCTTTCTGTTGCTTATAACAGAAATACCTGAAACTGGGTAATTTATTAAAAAAATATATATATTTATTGCTAATAGTTTCAGGGGCTGGGAAATCCAAAGCCCAGGGAACACATCTTGTGAGGGCCTTGGTGGCAGTGGTGACTCTACAGCAATGCAGGGTATTACATGGCAGATGGCTGGGGAAGAGAGGAAGCTAAGCTTCTCAGTTACTCTCCTTTTAAAGCCATCAGAACCACACCCATTACTCCATGAATGGATCAATTCATTCAAGAGAACACAGTCCTCACAATCTAATCACCTCTTTAAGGCCCCACCTTTCAATTATCATAATAGGATTTCCCACCCTCTTAACACTGTCACGGTGGGGATTAAGTTTCAAGAAGCTTTGGGGGACACTCAATCCACAGCAACCTCCTCATTAATTAGATAAAATTGGATAAAAGCCCAAAATAGCAAGCATTGTTATTTTGAAAGTGTACATTGGGGCATCTGGGGTTGGCTTCCTCCTGGCTAGCTGCTCTCTGCCTTTGCAGGCGGATTCCACTGGAAGACATCCCAGAAGATGAGGACAAGTGTTCAGCCTGGCTCCACAAACTCTACCAGGAGAAGGTCAGTGCATTGAGGCGACAGCCGTCCACTTCACATGGGCTGGAGAGTGGTGGCTAGCCCTGTTCCACTGGATGTGATCTCAGAGCACCAGTGACTAATGATCCTGGAGCTGATGCTCTACTCGGCAATAGGGAAAAGAACACAGCAAAAAAATAATTTATTTTGGTGGCTGGCCGGTAAAGGAATCTGAACCCTTGAATTTGGTGTTATCATCACTGTGCTCTATCCATAACTGGCCAGTCCTCAAAATATTTTAATGGGGCTGGGGCTTCACAAAAAGATGAAACCATTTTATATTGTAGTGAACCAAAAAGGAGGTAATGTCCCCAACAGCCCGTGACCCCATTTTCCTGCCTCTGGTGCTAAGGCACAATATTCTTGTGGGGTGGGTGTTCTCTTTAGCAATGAATGTTGTCTTGACTGCTTCTAGATGAACAATTTGGTTGCCAGTCTCATCTCAAAACATCACTGGAATAAGCACGAAGGAGCCGTTTGGGGATCACCATGGCCTTGACAGGGTTCAGACCTTCTGTGGTGCCCCCACCCTATTCCTGCCCATGGCCCATTTCCTAGGGCCCCCTACTTGCTCTTTCCTTCCTCCCAGCAGGGCCTTAGCTTGCAATGGTTTCTCTCCACCAAAGACATACGCAGTGAAGGGGACATCTAATCATTATTGCCCTAAATACTCGATCTTATGGAAGGAGAAAAGTTTCACTTCCTCCTGGTGAGGAAGGCATTTTTATGCCCAGGTCTCACCAGCCAGTACACTTATTTCTGGTTCATCGTGCATTTTAAATCCAAACAAGTCATTACCTGGAATCAAATATATTCTGTAGGATTCTGATTTCCTTTTCCTCAAATTCCACAAATACAGGCTGGCTGACACTTGCTCTTTCTCTCCATTCCTCAAGGGAAGATAATCACCCAGGACTTTTTGGGACCCTCTCTACAGCTGAATAAAAATTTTAACCCTACCCTTGAGCAGGTGTTAGGATTTTGGTTCCAAATCCAAATTTCAGCCCAAAAGACTTGTCATCAGATTAAGTAGAGAAGCTCTTAGAAATATGCACAGTTTTTGGAATCAAGATCCTGATACTCTTTTTTCTGATACCTTTAAATCGTCACTGCACAAAGCTGACCATTTAGGTCTTCTCTTCTATATGGATTATGGGCATAGCTGTCCGGTCTCTTCCTACAAATCCACAAATTGCTAATAGTAAATATGGACTAGTTTACCTTGTCACCAGTGCATGGAATTGTGAACATTCCTGGGCCCCCTCCTCAGTGATTGTGACTCAGTAGGTGGAACCTTGCAATGTGGACTTCTAGGAAGCTGCTTCTGACACAGGTGGTCTGAGGCCTGAAGCTTTTTAACAAGACTCCAACTGATTGAAGTTTTGTGCTGATACACATCTGTGCCCCAACAGAGAAACACAAAACGATATGAATTCGTTCCCGCTGGTTCCATGCAGGAGGCAGTATTTTCCTTGTGCTGCTTTCTGGTTTAATCGTTGAGGCAATATAAAAAATGTGGCTTTTAGCAAAAAGAAAAGTGTGCTAAGAAAAGGCTTAAGAAATGAATCCTTTTGTAAAGAGCCACACAAACAAATTTACAACAAATGTGGCCCCAAAAGCCATCTTAACAAAGGAGATTTTTCTGGATGGCTCATACATTCCTGTCTCCCAGCAGGAAAACGGTGGTCATTGTGCAACTGAAATAAGGACACTGTTCCTTCCCTTGACTTCTTCCTCTAAACTACACATGCATTTAATGGCGGTCAACTTGGTAGATGACCGAAATGACCATGTAGGCCAAAGCTCTTGTGCTACTGATGAGGAAACTAAGCCCCAGTCTTCTGGCTCGTTGATCAAAGCCAGGTGCAGGAGGGCAGGCCCTTCCTTTATGCCGGGCAGCTCTGGAATGACAGCTCGGTTCTGAAGTCAGGCTGTCTATGGGTGGGCCTTTTCCCCCTTCAGGACTATCGCTGACCAGGAAGTGCAGGTGGGCATAGTCCCTCCAAGCCGAATGTCAAATAGATATAACGGGACCTTTTGCGCCATGGTATCAATTCTGTGTCAGCCCTTTTTCAGGAGCCTAGCTCTGGGGCTTTACACGCCAAAAATCCAGGTGCCCACCAGCCTTGTCAAAGTGGGATTCCACTTTAATCATCACCTTTTTGGATGTATGACACGTGTTGAAAGACAATTCTGTTGACTTTGACCTTGGGATTTTAGGGCAGCTGTTCTCATACTGTTCAATTTCATGGATAAAGTTTCTGCAAAATGTGGTAGGAAATGGTAGGCAGCCGGCATTTTCTTCTGTCCAAGCAAGGGCATAAATAAGAAACCCACCATCCACCACTGACATTTTAACACCCTCTAAAACAGGAAGGGCATCGTCTCTGAAATCAGTCATCCTTTCAGTTAAACCAATTTGGGTTTATGAAAAACGCACAGTATTTCTTACAGGTCAGCATTTGCGACCTCCTGCTGGTTGAGGGTGTGGGCACAGTCTCCCCTGGGACAGTAGCAGTTCCCAAATGAACTTGGCCTGGGGCTGAACCCATAATCCCAGAACCACCTTTCTGGGGAGGTCACAGTGACCATCATCGTTTCTCAATCATGTGGGTTCAGCAGGTTCTAACTTTTTAAAAAATTTTTTTTTATTTTGTCAATATACAATGTAGTTGATTATTATGTCCCATCACCGAAACCTCCCTCCCTCCTCCCTCTCCCCCCTCCCACCCAAGTGTGTCCCCTCCATTTACTTAGGTTCTAACTTTTCATTTACAACTTATAGTACTGTCCTGGGTTGTGATTTGAAGTGTGCTGAAGGGACTAGAAATCAACCATTAATGGTGAAAGAAAGTGACATTCAGAATTGTCTAGTGGGTGCAAGGTGTCCATGGAGGCCAAGGTCAGAGCAGCTGTGTGGGGTGCAGGTCTGGGGGTGTGGGGGCCTATTTATCTTTAAACCTGTCTTAGTAGTCACTTACAATAATCACTTGATCCTGAGAAGGAAGGAGGGTTGAGAGAGAATGTCACCTGGGGTACCGTCACCTCCCGGGAGCAACATTCCTGCAGACCCCACAGTGCTATCATCCATGCAGCTTGAAGCACGGCCCCCAGGAAGCTCCACAGTGGCAGATAGGGTGGTGGCTGGTGGCCGGGGAGCCTTGTGAGACCGACATGTACCTGTGTGTTGAGAGGCCAGAACGACAGTGTGGTGTGTGCCCTGCATGAGCTCGTGGGCTTTCCCGGCTCCTCCCTGATCGTGGGTCAGGTTTCTGTCCCCGTTCTACAGGGCCAGCATCGGTGCAGGATTCCAGTTCCTTCTCCTGCCAGCCTGTTCAGGAGGCAGCCCCACCCATGTGATGGAGCAGGACCTGTCCTCAGGTGTAGGCTCCTGGCCACCGGCAGGGAAGGCCCAGCCTGGGCCAGCCTGTGGCCAGAGCGCCAGCTCCTCCCTCCCGCCTCATGACAGAGCTGCACTGTTCTGCCTCTCCACATGTCCCTGTAGGAAGGGGCCACCGAGGGCAGTACCGAGAAGACACAGAGGCCTGCAGAGCCCTTCCCGTCAGGTGACACAGACCCCCAGTTCTGAGCTTCCCTAGGGAGCAGGGCCTCAGCAGGGACCTGCCTGCGGCCCAGTGTCCTGTCTGAGGTCCCCTTCTCTGTCCCCCAGGACGCCTTTCAGGAGGAGTACTACAGGACAGGCACCTTCCCCGAGACCCCCCTGGTGCCCCCGCGGCGGCCCTGGACCCTGGTGAACTGGCTGTTCTGGGCCTCGCTGCTGCTATACCCCTTCTTCCAGTTCCTGGTCAGCATGGTGAGCAGCGGCTCCTCCCTGACGCTGGCCAGCTTCGTCCTCGTCTTCTTCGTGGGTAAGTGGGGGCAGGAGGCACAGGACGGGCTGTTCCATATGGGCCGAGGCACCTTATGGGGAGAAGACGCTGCCTGACAGTTTACAGGGAAAACCGCTTTCAGGACAAGTGTTCAGAGACCCCCAGAAGCCCACCTGGAAGGAGGTTCAGGGCCTCCTGCCCTGTCAGCTGGTGGTAGATGCGGACCGCTCTGCTCAGGATCATCATTGCCTCTTCTCCTGAGAAAGCCACACATGGCATCTATGGGCATGAACAGGTGGCTTCTCCTTGAAAGCAGCTGGGTGCCCCCGTGGGGAGGCTGGCGTGCTCCTCCCTGCTCACCAGGTGGCCTGACATCGAGTGGAGATGCCCGTACCTGCATCTTTTCACTGATCCACTGGCTTTATTTGACCAGTGTGTTTAAACAGTTGCTGTTCCCTCTTCGCACCAAGGCTCTGTGCACACTGCCACTTGTTTCTGAGGTGGGGCAGCCGTGGCACGGTACCTGTTTCCTGCCCTGCGCACAGGGGACCTGTGCTCCCTGAGGCTGAGAGACTGGGGGAGTGTCCCCGTGAGAGTACCCATTGTCTCCCCGGGGCTGGATAGCCTGGCCTCTCCCAAGGCTCTGAGAGACTGGGGGAGTGTCCCCGTGAGAGTACCCATTGTCTCCCCGGGGCTGGATAGCCTGGCCAGGGTCTACCCTGCTTTTCCGAGACTGAGGAGAATGGCATGTAGCCCAAGGATTCAGAGATCCGTGTGCTTGTTTCAAGTGGACAGATCTGTTATTTCCATGAAATAAAGATGCTATATGCTCACTGTAAAAGACCCCCAATAATATAAAAGTGCAAAAAACTGAAAGTGTCTCAGGACAAAATCCTCCCCTTTGAGCCTACTCCCCAGAAAGACCCATTTTTGACAGTTTGATGCATCAGCTCCAATCTCAAACACATACGCATACATAAATTCATATAATTGGGAGTTTCTTTAACTCGCTTTTTCACCTAAAAAATCATGACCACCTAAACAAGTCACAATACAAACCTATCCCATTCTTTTGGATCAAGCCAACCAATTCTAGACTTTATGGCTGCAACAAGCAAACTGACTCTTGTTCCAAAAATTGACCCTACTATAATCTTTTTTTAAAATTAAAAAATACATTTAAATGTTAAAAATTAGAATATTAAAGCAACACCCAACTCCTGTTTAAAAAAAAAGTTCAGAAAGAAGAAGACGGAGAAGAAAACATCCCATTCCCCAGAGATAGGCCCGGGGACACCCCAGTGCTGCTGACAAGGTTGGCCAAGGGTCCTAGGGGAGCCACAGTTGCCAGGGCCCCCACAGGATTGGGACAAACCCGGCCTTTCTGCCTCAGTAGCAGGGAGCCAAAGACCCTTCAGTGCCCTCCAGAGAAAGCTGCAGTTCCTTAAAGATGAGAGAAGCTGGGCACAGGGCCTAGCCCAAGTATGTAATGAGCGCCAAAAAAGAGGCCTGTGACTCTATCAGGGGAGTTTGCTTTTTTGCCCTAAGTTGTGTTGTGTTTGTGTCTTCTTCCTCTTGCAAGGCCATTGAGCAAGAGTCCAGGTTTTTCTCACTTCTCTATTCTCTATAATATCATCATTGCCACTGCTAATGGCACACTTGATGAAGTTCTAATATTGGGCCAGGGGCTCATCTCCAAGCCTCTTTAGAGTCGGCCCCAAGCAGAAGTCTCCCCGTTTGTAAGTGCCTGGGTACTGGCTGGCCGGACTCCCCATCCCAGTCTGCTCCATCTGGGTCTGAGTAACACTGTACAGACCACAATGCTAATGCTTTGTAAACACACTCATGATCATTTGAGAGATCTCATTCACTTGCTCATCTGTCCGTTCTTAAACACATGTTGTAAACGGACTCTTTGCCAGGACCTGTGTTTGGTGCTGGGCACATCAAGGTGATCAGGACATGGTCCTTGCACCCAAGGAACACACGAGTCTGCCCTCTCCTGAGGCAGGAGCTTCGACTGCAACTTCTGAGCGCTAGCTGCCGTTTCCCTGTTTCCTAGTGGTTCAGCTGGGCTCCTGCACTTTCTCGGCTGTAGGCCAAATCTGGCTGTCAGAGAGAACCCTCAACAAGGGCGGAAGTCGTCCACTGCTCCAATGCTTGCACCAAAAACAATTTTGGAATTTGCTGGCCACTAAATAGGCACTTGGGCGCTCGCATTTACCAGGTTCCTGGCATGTTTTTTATAAAGCTGAAAGTGTCCTGTAAGTTACTGCCCTGTATTCGCAAAAGAATCCTCTGCCTGGGGGATGGGCGTGGGAAGCAGAGGAATTCTGTAAGCCCGTGACGTGATCAGCTGTGTATGGGGCTTGGCAGATTCTGCTCACCTCCAGTGTCCAATGATGAAAACCCCCCAACAGAGCAGCCCTGCTCTGTTCCTGTTAGTATCACACAGATGTCCGTGCTCCAGGATGACTGTAAAGCTGGCATTAGGAAATGGCGCACAAATTCACTGGCCCCACTGCTGCTTGTGATTTGCAGCCAGCGCCGTCCCAGGCTTGCTGGGCAGGTCGCCCTGGAGCCTGCTCAGGCTCCTCCCGACCCTCTTCCCTTCCTGTTCCTGCAGCTTCCGTGGGAGTTCGATGGATGATTGGTGTGACAGAGATCGACAAGGGCTCTGCCTACGGCAACATCGACAGCAAGCAGAGGCACAGTGACTGACTCGGGGATGTGTCGCCATCCAAAGGGAACCTTGGGGAACTGGCGGCCTCTGTACATCCTTCTTAGTGGGATTTGGTAACGAAGGTTGGGTGAGCCCCTGTTGGGAAGAGCAGAAGTCACAGCCTCTCCAGCCACAGAGTTTGGTCTCAGAGCCGGACAGGGAGGAAGATGCTCTTAAATCTTTTTCGCATGGGCTTTAGTGGGTTTGGTTTTCTTTCTTTTCATGCACATGTGTGTGAGGATGGATGTGCGGCTGTGAGCCTTGTTCTGTGACCATTCGGAGGGCACGTTAGGCTGCAGGGGAGGGCAGGGCTGGGGAATGAAGGGGGAAAGTGCTCCCTTCCATCCTTTGGTGCTGAGTTTCTGTAACCCTTGATTGCCAGAGATAGAGTGAAAAAGCGCTTTAGGTAAGAAAACTAAATTATGCCTCTAAAAAAAAAATTAAAGTGTTTGTCTGGGTCATCTGTGGTGTATGTTTACACAGACTGCTCCACCTCTCCATTCCACCCTCTGCCCTGGGTCTTGGCATCCAGACAGTGCAGGAGGAAGCTGAAACCTTAGGGTGAGGCAGCCTCTGCACACCAACAGCTCAGAGGCAGAGGGTGGGTATGCCCACACAGTGACACTCCCTGGCAAGTGACACAGAGGCAGCCTGGCAGCGTTTGCGAGAGCCGAGACAGCAAGTGCCAGGAGATGAGCCGAACACTTGCCTGGGACATGGCATAATTGGTTTCTCAGTCTCACTGCAGTGAAGTCTCCTGACCTTAGTCTTGAAGATCTGCCCAACTCCCTGAAGAAAGTGATCTTGACACTGTGCTTAGAAAACATAAAAATGAAGCCTGGGCATTCTGCAGCGATCTGTGAGATGACTTACATCTACTGTTCATCTCAGCAGCAACAGGAGAACTTGGATCCCCCCAAACGAGGTTCACTTTTTCACAACACCTCGCCCTTTCCCAGCACACAAAGCTCATCTGCAGCTACCACGGAGCCAGGTGCTCCTCTGGCCAGGGTCAGACTGGAGCAGACATCCATGGAGAACCCCCAGGGCTCTGCTTTCCTTCCGGGCTTCTCACTGGCTCCCCTTTTACTCCACTAGAGTTCTGCTCTTCAGCATCTCCGGTGGTCTTTGGAGTAATGGCTGATGGGAGACTGCTGTCAGTCAACAGAGGCCAAATGCAAAACAAGAAGGGAAAATCAGGCAGTGATGTTTTTGAAAGAGAACAATTAAATACCAAATAGTATGTCACCCCAGGCACCTGGACAGTCAGGCATTTGTGAGCATGACAATTAAACAAGACACAGTTTTCTCCTTGTGTCCTCCTGTTTTGCTATGGTTATATAGAAGGGATGGGCTCTTCATACCAAAGTAGGCCAAACATTATGCCAAAGGCATATTCTGTTCAGAGTCAAGTTTTTAAATGTTTGCTCTTTTATCACTACTAAGTGACTAAGTGTTTACCAAGCATGACTGAACAAGATAAGCCAAGAACCTACAAAGAGAGTTCTAGAGAAGCTCTCTTTGCTTAAGGGACAATAATGTATTGCTGGTACAAATGAGTTTGAATCTGAAGTACAAAAGGTAAATTCTGGCTCACTTGTGGGAAGAGACTATGGGAGAGCCCAGGGCCTGAGTCTACACTCGCTGGTATCCCTGAAGGTGGGGTTGATGAGCCCAGTACATTTGCTCACCCTCCATATGGCCCAACACACAAAGCACAGAGATGCAGGGGCAAAAGCACAGGGGCGCTTGGAGAGGCTTAGGTGTGTCTATCTCTTGCCATTTGTGAGTACACCGTGGTGGGCTGCACCTGGATTCTAGGGCCATTCCAGGCTGGGGACCTAAGACAGCGTGAGGCCCCTCTGTCCCTGGTTTCTGAGTTACACAGTTCACCTGAGCACTGCAGCTCATCCGCTGTGAGACTTGGGCAAACCATTCTACTCGCAGAGCCCCAGCTTCCCCATCTGCGAAATGGGGATGATAATACCTACCTCTTAGGTGGTTTAAGGGATAAAAAGAGGCATGCTTTAACAATCCTAAAGCACTAAACAAACAGGACTGAAAGATTAGAAAGCTGCCTTCGTGTTGTTCCTTCTCAAAAATGCTCAGAAATTACATTCTTCCATTCAATAGCGGTAATCTAAGTTCTAAAACATATACCCCTCTTCCCCCTCCCCACACCATGGGCCCACAGACGTTTTTTTTCCTAAATTGGCTCTAGTATCAAACACAGAACACAACAAGCAAACAAAGAAAGGTTTCTCACCAGTGCCTTCGGTGCCAAGTCGGAGGAACGCAAGCAAAAGAATTCTTAGGTGAGAACTAGGTGAGCGCTATTTTAATCACCTTAGAACACAAAAAAGAGCGTGGTGTGCTGGGGAGAAGTCTGGAGATGGCGCTCCTGTTGTCTGCCCCTCCCATGAGGAAGGATGTTGTCATGTGGTATAGAGATCTGATTTTCCTTCTATCTGGGACCTTGACAACAGAGACAAGCACTGGTACCTGGGAAGACCCTCATCATGTCCCCCCAACTCTCCTCACCTGGGCTCAGTCACACAGAGGCCACAATCTCTTCAGCAAAGAACTGTTTTGGCTCCCAGGATATTTATTTCTCTGTGAATTAAAAATCCACAGAGTTTAAGCCATCTTGTTGTCCCCTAAGTAGAGTATCATGGACTAAGAGCTTCACTTCCTGTCTTTCCAGCCTCTCCATCTCGCCATAGCACAGGTCAACCTGCTGAAAGTCTGTTCTCTAATTCAATGTGGCAGAGAAAAATACAAACTTTCACCGAAATCTGGAGAGCAATGCAGGGTCATCTCTAGAAATTAAGGACCATCTCCTAGACTACTCTTCCAGTAGCTTGAAGGCAGGGAATTTAATACACTTTTAGAAAACCAAGCCCACAAAGAGGCTTTCTTTATTAAAAGACGACAAATATTTGCATTTTATTAAGAGATGCAGCTTGAAGTCTGGGGAAAGTACACTGATTCTGTGATGCTAAGTTAACATGATTAACTATGGAGGAAGAACTAAGGCTGTTTGTGAGTTAGTCCATTACCTGTTTTACTTTTTTGGAGAGAATACAAACTTTTTCATGTGACCACACAATAGTACTAGACTGCCATATTCTCTAAATAAATGCATTCGAAGCATTGTAAAAGTAGCTGATGATGTTTTAAAATTTAAAAACATTAGTGTTTTTCTAATATATCCGTAAGTGAATCTGAAAGACAGTGATTTAAATGTAAACTCGATGAAAATTAATTGTCCAGCCAAAACTTAGAAACAGCTGATGTAACAAACAGAGAAAGGGCCCCAGGCAGCCTCTGGTTACCCCTCTCCCCCAAGTGGAGTGGAACAGTGGTCCAGTTAATCCCCAGGCAAAACAGTTTGGACTTTACCCAGGCTTTAGAACTTATTCTTAACCATGGACAAAAGTTGAAGGAAGGTAATCAGTGAAAATTCTCTAGGATATCTACTCCTGCTCAAAACAAGAGATTTAATCCAGCTTTCTTTAAAGCACTGGTCTAGACATTTCACATATTTGCTAGGTTAAAGTGAGAAAAACAAATACTCTGGGTTTATCAGTCTCCCAAGGGACTACACACTGTAAGGAGGAATATTTCGTGCCACTGATCTGCCACATGTGTTTAAAGGAGTGCAAAAGCAAGATCAGCCTCAGTCCTGCCTGACTGTGTCTGCAGCTATCAGGCCACAGCATCCTTCCCCAGAGCTTCTAAGAAAGGCACTTCCAAAATGTGAGTCTCCAAGTTTTCATGTAATAGGTCACTGCACTGTCCTGTCAGGTATGTGTTTACCTTCCATCAGCAGCTGTGTTTTACAGTGCCTTAGCTCAGCTGGTTCTAAGTGCTCTCTACAGAGTAAAAAATAAAACAAGCATAGGTGCAACCTGCTCTCTGATGTGCTGGCATCGCCTCACTTCTGACACTTCAGGCCTTAGTCACGACTCGGCACAGGGGCAGAGCGGGGATGGTTTACCTTCCATCAGCAGCTGTGTTTTACAGTGCCTTAGCTCAGCTGGTTCTAAGTGCTCTTTACAGAGTAAAAAATAAAACAAGCATAGGTGCAACCTGCTCTCTGATGTGCTGGCATCTGATGTGCAGGTGCCACTGAGGGGGCTCAGCCATCCTGCTGATGTTCCTGGCTCTCGTTCTGATATATGCTCTTACTCCAAACAAAAAAAGTTTCTGCAGTCTCTAGCCGGAAGGAGAGACGAGGACTGCCCTGCTGAGAAAGGCTTGCAGGTATGGGCGTGGGCTGGGGAGCACGACCCATGCAGCGTCCACTTTGCTCCAGGACGGCTCAGGGAAGATGAGCTTCCTGCCTCCCACACTCAGGATCGTTCTCTGCCCTGAGGAGCATGCGTGTAGGGACTGCAGGCCAGCTGCTCAAGTTCCCTCCTCTCTGGATTCTTCCCCATCTATATAAAGATACGGTGGCTGCTTGGATGAGTAAAAAATTGGATTGGCATATCAGTAGGGTTATTCCCTAAAAACACCTTCACAGATTTAATCAAAAAAATTTTTTTGAACAATTATTTTTTTGGCCAGAACAAATGAGGCTCAAATCACATTCTCAATGTACACATTAGACAAAAGGGTAAGGCAAGCAATCTTCACATGTGCCACTCCCTCCACCCTCCGAAACTGGACCCCGTAAGGAAGGCTGAGGGACTTGGTCACCTCAGAACCCCCCAGGCCTGCACAGGGCCTGGCAACACCAAACCACCCAATGAGCGAACACCCAGCCCTCTAACTCACATCCCCAGCATCTCACACTCCCGCATCTCTGGCTTGAGTCTCCAGTTTGCAGAATTTCAAGCAAATTTAAATGAAAGCCAAACACGTCAGATGTTTTGCGGCTTTGAACTGACACAATGGGTGTTGAAAGCACAGGATGTACCACTTGAGAGGAGGGTAAATGAAAGGACTAAGAACATGTTACTCTCTCTCTTGGCCCAGGACATTAGATATCATTCATAACATGTCACCAATTGGCATAGTATCTGTTTATGATATTCAACTGCTAGAAATTACCATTATTTTGGTCAAAAAGAGTAGGATACCAAAAATTTCACCTAAATGGTTAGCATAGGTCTACGCATCAGAGACCACCTCTCTGAGGGCAGGCCGGGCCCCTGGGCTCACTGCCTGCCCTGCCTCCTCCTGCAGGGACCAGTCATAGTGGCCCTCAGCAAAGACTGACGACTACATGAAGGGGTCACTTATTTAGAAGCCTGAATAATGGAGTTTCAATTGTCTTTTGATTCGCTTTCCTGAAGTAAAAAAGAAGAATCTTTCTTAAGCATAATTAGACCCAAATGAACTTGAGTACTTTATATACGGCCAATACTTGGAAGTTTCTAAGTTACCAGCGAAAAAGCAGAGCTGAAAGAATCGGCAGTTCCAAAGACAGTTCCTCCCAGGCCCTGCAGCCTGG